CTAAGGCATGGCTTGTCCCAGACCAGCAACTCGAGTTTCTTCTCTCTTTGGGATTCCCAGGGTCGTTGCCTGTTTCTTTTCTTCCATTTTTCTCTTTCATTTCTGTGTTGACCTGTAGTGGCAGATGAAGATAAACAGTAGACTGTCTCTAAAGTGTACCAGAGTGAGTGTTCCATTCAAAGTTGAGGTGATTCTGGACTGCTCATCTCTGGCTGCATCTGTTCACTGTCTAAGACATTTTTCAAGCGTTCCCTGACATTAGTTTTTGGCTCCTATCTTTGTTCACTCTGAAATGAAAATTGGAATGGGATGGAAATAACTGCAATACTTTATGCATTTCTGTGGAAGAATTCATTAAACAGGCTGAATAAAAATGAGAGAAAGGGTTTTTCTTTCTACTGTTTAATTTCTTTATTCTCAAACTCCAACTCTTCTATTTTGTAATAAATTGAGTCTCTCTCTATATATATATTTTTAATTCTTGGTGGGAAAGAAAAAATAAAACATGTAAAGTTCTTAGCACAGTACCTATTATGATGTTAGCTATTATTACTGTTGTTATCTTGTATCATAATTATTATTATTGCTACTATTTTTTGTGGAAAGCCTTAGTTGGTTTTGTATTTAATCTTACTTTCTGAAGACATGATGGTGTGTTTACACTACTAAAAATGAAGTGTACCAAAACTATGACATATTTTTGGTGTGATAAAGATGACCTTGGGTTTCTACAGAAATTTGATGAAGCATATTTAGGCTTTTAAAAATGTTTTATTCTCTATTTTTTGTCCCTCTAGACTCTGTGGATTTGAACCATTTTATGATGAAAGAGGAGATCAGTTCATGTTCAGGAGAATTCTGAATTGTGAATATTACTTTATCTCCCCCTGGTGGGATGAAGTATCTCTAAATGCCAAGGACTTGGTAAGTGTGAGAAAAGGAAGCCAAATGAAATAAAATCCCTCACATTTCTTTAGAACTAATTAATGAGGCATACTATTTTTTGTGTATGCCTGTTTTTATTTAAATTTTTAAATTTTTATTGTGATTTGGGTGAAAGTTTACAAAGCAAATTCATTTTCCAAACAGTAGTTCATACACATTTTGTTTGATGACATTAATTGCAATTCCTCACAATAGAACATCTCTTTCTACTTCCTCCCCATAATTACCTCTCCTTGTGTCCCTCCCTCCCGTGCATTCCCACCACCCCTATCCCCGACCTATCTTCTTGTGCAAACACAGCCCTTCTGTTTTCCCACAATTAATTGCTCCAAGGAGTATATCTACCTGATATAGACGTTCACCCCATGTTTGTCTATTGTTTGGCTGGAAGCCACAGGAGTGAGTTCAGTTCCAAATCTGAATGGTAACCAGGGGCCACATCACCAGGCTCTATCAGACCAGCAAACCTGGTCATTCTCTCACTCTATCTAGGATCTCCTGCACTGATCCCCCTGTGAGTGTTTGACACTGGTAGCTAGTAGCTAGGCACCATCTTGTCCTTCTGGTCTCATGGTCATATAGGCTGAGGATCACATGGTCTACTAGTGCCTAATTGTTTTTATGCACTTTGGTTTTCTTCATTCTTCTATGCTCTGAATGAGGAGGAACCCATCATTGCATCTAGATTGCCACTTGAAGCTTTTAAGACCTCAGTCTCTTCTCACCAAAGAAGGATGTAAAATGATATTTTTCTGTAGTATTTTATGCCAAATGAGCTTGATGTGCCCTGCAACAATGGTCCCAAGCCCACAGGTCCAATTACTCTCTCCCTCAGGACAGCTGTCTGTGTCCAAGGAAGCCACCACAACCTTGCCCCTCGTCAGCTCTACTATACACCTGGATATTCTTGCAGCACATATAAACATGGATGTAGAAACATCGTCTGCCAACCCTATACATGGTTGTGGGCACACTTCCCCCGTCTAGACATACCTGATTATTCAGTCTGTCTACTCATCTATCCACCTGTAGATCAATACTTGCCATCACTGACAATGCAGTACTGTACATGAGCATTGCTATTTTTTAAAGTTTCCTCTTTTGCTTTAATATCTTATTTCTTTTTAATTTTATTTTTAGTAACACAATACATACTAATGCTTTTTCTTTATAGGTTGTTAGTTGTTGTTATGTGCCATCAAGTCGGACCCGACTCATAGTGACCCCTCCTTGGGTTTCCGAGGCAATATCACTACGGAAGTAGACTGCCCAACCTTCCTTCTGAGGAGTGGCTGGTGGATTTGAACCACCAGCCTTCTGGTTAGCATTCAAGTGCCTCAGGCACTACGCTACCAGAGTTCCTTTTCCTTATATAGATAATGAAAAATAAGTATGTTTTAACTCAGTACTAGCTGAAATATCACAAACGACAAATTAGTATCATATTAGTTAATGAGTTTTACTACCTAAGCCTTGCTTATGAGGAAATCAGTGTTGGGTGAATCTAAAGATAATTTACACAGAATAATTCTATTTTAATATTGCTTGCTATTACCTAGATAGGAGCTCTGGTGGCATAGTGCCTAAAGCATTTGACTGCTAACCAGAAGGCTGGTGGTTCAAACCCACCAGCCACTCCTCAGAAGGAAGGTTGGGCAATCAACTTCTGTAGTGATGTCACCTCAGAAACCCAGGGAGGGGTTGTTAATGAATCGGACCTGACTCAATGGCAGTGAGTGAGATTACCTAGATAGATGTATACCAAACCAAAACCAAACTCACTGCCATCGAGTCAATTCCAACTCATAGTGACCCTCTTTGGGTTTCTGAGGTGGTAAATCTTTACAGAAGTAGATTGCCTAGTGTGGAGTCACTGGTGAGTTTGAACCGCCAACCATCTGGTTAGCAGTCAAATGCCATAGGCACTGCGCCACCAGAGCTCCTTAGATATATGTATATTTCAAATAAAATTATATTGCTTCCTGAAATATCATTGAAACTTATGAAAATATCCTATTATTAACACAAGTCACATCATGCATCATTGGTATAAGAAAATTCCATGGTACTATGTGTTGGAATCAACTTGACAGCTGTGGATAATACTGTATTTATTATTATTATTACATTGCTTTTTGCTTAAGTTAATGTTGACATTAGCTTGCATTCAGAAAACAAACTCTGTGGGAAGTGGCTCACATGTTTTAAAATAAAATAGATGATCTTAACATGGGATTAGGAGTCCCTGGGTGGGACAAATTTTTAAACAATAAGCTGATGTTGTTGTTGTTGTTATGTGCTGTTGAGTCAGACCCAACTCATAGTGACCCTCCTTGGGTTTCTGAGGCAGTATCACTATGGAAGTAGATTGCCCCATCTTCCTTC